GATTGGGCATTTATCTGAAACGGTTACCGTATTCTATCAGCTTCTCAGGCTACCAGCTGCGATGAGTACGTCTGGTTTCACGAAAAGCTCCTCATGGCTTTCTTAATTTCAGCCGTAAACATGCAGACGCTGAACTAACCGTACAACAGCTTTCGAGTTCGCCTGCGATTTTTCGATTTTTTCCGGTGTCGCGGTGCATCGTCTAACACACGGGCGCTGTTTGACAACCTAGGAAGCCACCGCGTTCGGGAAGGGGGGGGCGTCCTTGTGAACTTCCGCGTCACAGAGTTCTATAGAATGTTGCTTGTCGGTGTATGCACTCATTGAATAGACTGAAGCACCATATTTTGATTCTCAGGGTGTAAGGAGGAGTCCAGAGATTCGAAAGATTCAGACTTCTGCCTCATACTTTTAATTTTTGTCCACGATTAGGCTTCACTTGTCACAATACTGAAGCATTCTCTCATGCGAAGATATTTTGGAATTCGTTTCTACTTCGCTTGTCACCTATAGAATGTCAAAGTAAGGAATTTTTTCCCTTGGTCGAAATACAATGCCAGCAGCTCAGGAGTTTTTTTGGATATAATGGTGCCTGTCACTTGTGGAGGTAATCCTCTAAGCGGCGAGGTCAAAGTTCAGAGTTTCCTCGTTCTCGTTTAAACTGTAAATCCCGGGTCGGGATCTGTCGGTCTTTGGTCAAGGCGGCCCCCTCCTTCCTTCTAAGCGTGATGAATGACTACACCTTCGAGGGCGTGCAACTGAAAACTACATACAACGCGTGTCACGTTGCTACCGTAGACTGTGCCTTTGAAATAATTCACTCCTGGCTGATGGCGCGGAAGTGTAGACCAGCGCCCCGTCATTAAAATAATCAAAAGAACTGCGCCAGTAATCGCTCCATCAGTAAAACGTAAAGAAGACCGACACTCCAATGATTGCAAACGTTTTTTTACCTCCTTTCCTTTCAAACCAGAGACCTCAGACTGACGATATCAGAGATGCAGAAAAAATCACGTCGTTCGCGTTGTCTGGACGATGGTGAGTTATATGGTTCTTCTCAAAATGATGTTTCTTACAATTGCATATTCAAGTCGTCATTGAACAAAAAACGAAATGTGTCACTTTAATACATAGTGCATGGGCAACGCTGCGAGTACAGTCTGTAGCCTCATCGTCATGTTTTACTCGCTTGTTTACCTCATGAAAACAAAAGTCAAATTTTAACCGTCGGACGAACTCGGTCCGTTATCGTTGATGCTCCGCCTACTGAACAATCGGCAGATATAACGGTGTAGCTTAAATGCCAAAATTACGTCGTTACAGTTGTTCACTCGTCGTTACTCTGAGGCAACACCTGTTCGTGAGTCTAAAGCCTGAACCATAACTGCTTTGCCGCCATGTGGCCTCCAGGCAACGACGCGTCGTTCGTTTCAGCCCCATTAGCCAGTGGCGTCTCGAAACGCAACGACTACGAAGCGGTCGTCGCCGATGCCGACGCCTCGTAAAAACCGCCGCTTAAAGCGTCCAGTATTTCAAGCTCGCCATAACCTATTGTCATCGAAATTTTTAGAGGCATGAAAAATCGCCCGGTTGGCCGCAACCTCATTTCCGTGGCAAATTTCTCCGCCTCAGACGAACCTTCGATTTTCGGTACTTCTGCCACATTCGGACGGGAGGATGATGACAACAGACGTTGAGGTAGGTGTTGAGGAAGCACTGCAACTTCTGAAACGAAATAGAGCATTTTTAAGTATCGCTAAACGAGTTATTTGGCGTGTCACACGGCCTGGAGCAACAAACCATTCAATAGGTGTTTCTGGTAACATGGGTGATGGATGTTCAGAAATCGGTAAACAGCGATACTGGTACTGGGAACAAGAGAAATTTCTGAGGACGGATTCATAGAGCCGGTCGAAACTCGAAACATCGCATATTCTCCTTCAATGGGGGATCAGATTACGGGCATCGATGGTACCCCCGGCAACCGATAATCAGGTTACGTTCGTTCGTTGTTGCGTCACGGTACCGCCAGCGTGCAATTATTCGATCGATTAATCCTTTTCACGAGGCTTCGGGTAAACGAACGAGTTTTCGATCGTGTATCGACGCATGGTCAACGTCTGTGAATGCCGGTTGTGTACAACAACTGAAAAGCGACGTCCTCTACGAGCAAGCCGCCGTTCGACCGGTGCACCTGCGAGACCGACCATCGTGTTTCCTCATCGTGGTGCAGTCTGTCGAAGACGTGACTCAGTGAGGACAGGAACCGCTCTGTCGGATGAACCTCTGATTCCAGGTGCTTTCCGAACGGCCAGCGTTTCTGAACACGATTCATCCGTTTCAACAGAATGAAGAGCCGAATACTTGTTCGTTTCGGCTACGCACAGACAACGAAGAAGCAGCTGCTCGGCAAGCGCATGCGTCTAGGATACTAGTGTGGCAGTCGTCTTGTTTTGCACCGCTTCTCGACTCGGTGAACAGTTTCCTCACGAACCTCACCGGCGCTATCCACGTCTCCTCTCTCTTCTCCTGTTCTCCGCCTCTTCATCTGTCTTTCTGCTCTAAGTCGTCGTCATCGATCGATCTCATCCGAACAGAACAGACAAGAAACCGACAACGGCCGGCTGCCTCCCTGCCTCCACCCTCTCGTCAACCTCGATCTCCACTCGCCAATAGTGGTCAACGAAATACCGAACAAACAGCTGTTGAGGAATGGATCTGACTGGACGGAACTGGCTGCAGCGTCCTCATCTGGCATATCTGCCAATTTTGTTTGGCCATCGTCGAAGCTGAACTGAACGACTGAGCACTGCAAACCCAGTATATCCACATGAATCCGGTCAGTCCGATGCTGCATGATAAAATCGGCAAGGAGGCATCGTCCCCGCTGAAGAACGCCTCTTCGATGCGCCGAAGATTGAGCCATTTTATCCCTCGACTAAGAAAACCGTCTCGTAAGTGTTGCAAGAGTGCACAAAAAATTCTTTCGATTTTTCATGTAGTACGTTCTGCAGTTATATGCCACCCCCCCCTCTCTGTTGTGTACCTGTTCTTGTAGTCTGTAGTCTTTGAGGATCACCTTCGATTTTCACGGAAACGTCATGTAAAGACTGTCGACTTTGGAGCTCTGAGGTTCTGGCTTTAAATGTCAAAGTACACAGACGATCAAACAGCATGACCGTTTGGTTTATAAGCTCTAACATCTGTACCTGAGACCACGACTGTTCAACTGGTAGCTGGTCACTAGTTTCTGAGCCGCACTCAGAGTCTCGAATTAATTCAGTGTATTGCTTGCTCGAAAGAGACCTCCATCAATTTTTGGGCTACAATAACGCAATAAAATTTATCATCCTAGTATTATATCATTTGATACTCTATGCATAAACTTTTCAATTCATGCTTTCTACTGTTATCCACAAACAGAGTTACCTAACAATACCATGTGGTTTTGATAATTTGGCTTTTGGTGCTTTTTCTCTTTGCATTGCTTCTCAACGACTTTAGTTACCGTACGAACACGGCATCTCGATCGAATCAAAGTGTGATCCCCCCTTAATCCTTTCGATGCCATCTCATTTCTAACAAGTTTTCTCCAACTTGTTCGAGGTTTTCCCGGCAGACGCCTGCCATCAGATTTTGTCTTCAGAATTTCCTGTGCATCATTGCCTGCTATCTTTAACTCCTTGTCTGTATGTGAATCGCTTTAATTCTTCAACGTCCTACTGTACGTCTTAAATGGTGGCATTGTGCCAAAGAAGTCTGCTTTGAACTCCTATAAAGCCGGGTTCGATCCCGCTCGAAGGCAATATTTGTCTTATTCCCGAATTCCCTTGAACAGGAATTTATCACTCATTCCTTGAGACAGAGGTTATTCAGCCAATGGAGCGTCGAACTCAGGACTGAGATTTCCTGAGTCCAAACCCTGGTCTGGATCATTCGCCTTTCCTCTTTCCGAGGCTGATAAATGAGTACCACTCTGTTGGAAGGAAATTGGAATCTAAACGTGACGATAAACTCTCCTTCTAAAATACTATACTCTTGGTTGATGGCAGACAGGAGGAATATAGAAAGACAGATCAGCACTGCATCATCAGCTTCATAGAAAGAATGGCGGTACCTTGAAGGTGTACGGAAGACAGGTGTCCCAACGGTTAGGACCCTTTCCCTTTCCCCAATGTTACAACATCATTTGGCACAACAACATATCAATTTATAATACTTAATACTTGGATCAAGATATTCAGATTGCGGACCAAGTATGAGCTCACCTTTATGAAAGGGCCGAAAGTCTTTCTTGTAGATATGTGTCATTTCTGCCAGTGTTCCCTGGCATTTCGGCGTTCCGAACCTCAGCATACTTCGCCATCTTTATCTTCCAAACTATGACTGCTGTTTCCATTTCGTGGTTTTCAATTTATTGAAATTTGTCATTAGCATTGATCTAATTTTATTAATTAATTAGTGAATTACATTCGCTTGAGCCGCTTTTGTAAGCGGAACATCCATGGTCTGTTCCGAAGTCTAGTATTCCAGTTTTAAGCCAGTTTTGCTCTAAGGCAC